GGCCCCCCCCCCCCCCCCCCCCCCCCAGAGATTCGTACCAGGGCTTCTTGCTCTTCCTCCTCCTGTGTCTGTCAGGGAGTAAGAGAAAAGTGCCCATCTCATCTGCCCCCTGCGCTCCCCAACCAGAGTGAAGAATGCAGCAAACTGTGTACTTTCCCCTCACTCCCTGATGAATGCCAGCAATGTCCCCATACCAATCGGGGGTGGGAGGAATTCAGTCCCCCTCCCTACCTTCCCTAAATGGTTCCTGGGGGTGGGAGGCTCAGGCTGGTGCAGTCCCAGATGCAGGGGGGGGCATGCCCCCAGCCAGCCCCTTTCAGCTGCCTGGTGATTCTGTCTCTTCTGTATGGTTTTCTGAGAAGCAATCCCATTCCAGGCACATCCTGTTTTCCTGGCACAGCCAAGCCCTTACGGTGCTTTAAGTTATGATAAGAGGAAGCAGCAGACTGAATTTGGTGGTCCTAGGTCTTACCATTTAGGAGGAGTTCTTGAACAGACAGACAGACCGACCGACAGACAGACTAGCACTCTCAGATGTATAGTAGGTTAGTTATCACATATTAATCTGAACATCCTTTGCCCCTCTTTCCCAAGCAACAAGCATTAGTTAATTAAGGGGGAAATATTTTATTGAATCAAAATGGAAGGAACACATAGGTAGGACAATCTAAACGCTTCCAGATTCCGCCGAATCTTCATCGTTACCCCTCTACATATCCCAGTCGCATGCAGCCCACACGCACACACATCTCTCTGGTAGAAAAGTGCCTTCCAAAAAGCATAACCTAATTTCACAGTCATCACAGAAACACGCTTGTTTGGAAAACTGCTGATGTGAGTTTGGTTTTGCTTCTAAAAAGAATCAAGCCGGTCCCCAGATTCAGCAAGGTTTAATGAAGGTCCTACTAGCTTGAACTAATGGTACAGGCAGCTGTTTTACATTGGTCTCATATTCCATGCCTCCTACGCTGTGTAGTTCTGGTCCAGATTCTTCCATGGTTTCCCGCCAGTCATCTTCACCTGCCGAGAGAGAGAGATAATGAGGATATACAATGGGCTAACTAATAAGAGGCATCAATACCCAGCAACTTGTGAATGGCAGCCTCAGTGACGAGTTATGAAAGGTCATCAATAATAAGGGGGAAAGAAATTATGGCTTGCTAGTTAGCTCATTAGATATTCCTTTTAGGTAACATTGTTTGTTCATGTTTCTTTAAGCAGTTGACGTGACAAGTCATAACTTGCAATGTTCACAGGATGCTGCCGGGAAGCCTACCAAACAGTTGTGCCTTTAAAATACTTAATAAGGGGAATAGGACTAGTGTCCGCCGCAGTATGAACAGATACAGTGATGTATGATAGGTGCCTTTGCCTTTTCACACCACGCTTTTGCCACGTGTTATTTATACAGTCAGCCTTAACCCCCAAAGCAGAGCTTCTAGTTCACCCCATGCCTTACCCAGAGGGAGGGAGGGCAGCTTCATTGCCTTCATTCACAACCCGTATAGCTCTGCCAGAACAACTGCAGCAGATGGAAAGGCAGCGCCCTGAGACAGGAAGCTGGGAAGCGCCATGTCTACTGAGGTTATTTAATTTTGATTTTCGCTCCCTTTTTTCTGTTATAATTCTGGGTCCCCCCTTTTTTCTCCACTCAAGCTCCTCTGAAGAAATGGGTTTTGCCCACAACAGTTCGTGAAACTAGAGATATTTTGGTTGGTCTCTAAAGGGTACGTCTAGACTACAGGCTTTTGTCGACAGAGGCTTTGTCGACAGATACTGTCGACAAAGCTTCTGTCAATAAAGAGCGTCTAGACTGCAGCCAATTCTGTCGACAAAGCAAGCCGCTTTGTCGACATGAGAGTGTGGACGCAAAGAACAGTGTAGAAGCAATAATGCCCTCTGTCGACAGAACTCTGTTGACAAAAGGCGTTATTCCTCATGTAATGAGGTTTACCGCCGTTGACAAAACTGCCGAGTTCTGTTGATGTTCTGTCGACAGAACTCGACGGTAGTGTAGACGCAGGTATAGTTTGGTCGACAAAAGTCCACTTTTGTCGACAAAATCCTGTAGTCTAGACACACCCTAAGGGTACGTCTACACTGCAATGCTGTTTCAGGATACCGGAGTATCACAAAATAGCTATCCCGCATCTTCACAGCAAGCCCATTATTTTGGGTTTGCTAGGCCAACATCCCTGTAAATCTCATTCTATGAGAAGTAAGGGATGTTTTGGAATAGCGCTTTATTTCAAAATTTGGCACTGTGTAGACAGCGCCAAATGATGAAATAAGCTATTTCAAAATAGCATCAAAATAAGATATGCAATTTGCGTAGGTCAAATTGCATATCTTATTTCAAGTTGCAGTGCTGTGTAGATGCACTCTAAGGATACGTCTAGACAGCGGCGCTATTTTGGGATACATCCAGTATCCCAAAATAGTGATTTCCGCATCTTAACAGCATGCCCGTTACTTCGAAATGCAATCGAAATACCGGGACATTGAAACAGCAAGCTTGTTAAACCTCATTCCATGAGGATTAAGGGACTTCTTAGAGTAGCGATCTGTTTTGAAATTTGGCGTTGTGTTGACAGCGCCAAATTTCAAAATAGACTAGATCGAAATAAGCTCACAATAAGTGATACGATTTGCGCAGCTCAAATTGCGTAGCTGATTTCGAGCTAGCGCCGCTGTGTAGCCACACCCTAAGATGCCACAGGACTACTCGTTTTTAAAGTGACCGATGACCCCAGTAACCCTCCCGAGACTGCCAAATGGATAGTTCATTGGCATAGGAGTTAGAAGCCCTAGTTCGAGTCAAGGCTCAGGCCCTGCTGAGTTGCCGTGTGACCTTGAGTGAATCATGTCATTCGCCGTGTGTCTTTTCCCCTCCCATGCGTCGTCCATTTTGGAAGAAGCTTCCAGGGGCAGGGACTGTTTCTCACCGTGCCTTTGTAGCACAATGGGGGGATTGCTCTCCACTGGGGTCCCCACGCCCACTGTGATATAAATAATAATCATCCAGTGAAATAACCTCTGAAGACACGATGAGTTCTGCATGTTCTGGGCCCTTTGGAGGAGGCTATCGACTCCTAAGTGAAACACAAGCTGTGTCCCCAGGGAGTCAGAGTGCAGGACCCAGCTACGGGACTGTCTGCAGGGCCTTCCAATCTGAACCTGGGGGAGAGAGGAGCGAACTGTAGCGTGTACTAGCAGGCTGCACTGCAGATCCCCTGTGTGGAGGCTGCGGCGGCAAACTCCAAGGCGCCTTGTTCCCATTAACGGAGCCCTCTTCCCAGCACAGCTGGGTCATGCAGGCAGCGGTACCTTTGCGCCAGCTTTCTCAACGTGAGGCAGTCAGGGTGGTGCATGCTGCAATCCACGCCCCCGTTGTCCAAACTCTGGGTCCGTACAGACATCGCCAAAAGGAGAGATTCTGAGGGTATCTGAGACAGGATTTGACCTACTGGGTTTTGTCTTACCTGAGCGGTCTCTCATCTCTGTGTAGCTGGAGGGATATGTTTTTCAGTTGCACAGGTTGAACCTCTCTAGTCTGGCACGCTCAGGACCTGACCAGTGCTGAACCAGAGAATGTGGCAGACCACAGGAGGTCATTACGGGCTAGCAGCATTACCAACACTGCCACTGCTTGCTGGGTTCCTAGAAGACATTTAGGGGTAAATTAGAGCTAAAGAACAGCCCCAAAACACTAAGAGCCAGAACTGGTGGCTGTAAACAAACTTTATGAGACTTGTGAGAAACTTGGCCACACCCTCGATAAGTGGGCATCCAGCTAACTAAAATCGTGCTTGACCACTGATGTTGCCAGACTAGAGAGGTTCAACCTGCAATTTTGCATGTAGCATGTGGGTCAGTTTTCTTCATGCATAGTTAAATTTGAAACTATACATTCAACAAGGTGTAACATGCACTTGTATAATAAAATGCAAGCAATCAAGTTATAATCATTTGTGTGTCTATTAAAATGTGGGGTTAACCATCTTTGGTCAGTTTTGCCACTGTTACACTCCAGTTTTAGGCCAGTTTAGTTTCTGTGAGTACAACTGCCCCTGTCCTTTAGATCCTTCATCTCACTTTGCCACCACGGCTGTCAGAAAGGAGAGCCTGCAAGCCAACCTCTGCCTGCATTTGGATAGAATAGAAGCCAGAATTAGGGACTTCCACACTGCTTTCTCCTTTTGCCTGATGGGTTTCCTGGCATCTGTCCATCTGCATCAGGCAGACAAAATTTTGCCCTAAACTTCTTACACTTCTCCACATGCAAAGCAATTGTCAGCTTCAAACTGTGTAAGCAACCAAGTGGACTTGTGTGCATGTTGTAAAGGGGGTGGGGGAGAAGAAAATGTCCTGTTGAAACATAAGCGCCAAATTATAGACTTATAAAAATAGGACTAATATAATGGAAGCACTATCTAAACTCTGATATCATGTTGTATTTATAGTGTGTATAGATTACAGAGGAATACTCTATTTTAAAAGGTACAATATATTGATAAAGAAGGATTAAATCAGCACCCAGAATAGAGAGCAAGGATATAAATTCATCTGCAGGGTCTGATTTCATCTTAACAGAATGTGCAGTGGGTTAGGTTTTTCCTGAAGAGGCATTACTATTGCCATCCGTGGGTTTTGCTTTTTTTATAAATACTAACCGTTTTCATTTGATAGTCAGAATGGCATTGCTGGTTTACCAGTGATGTTAGTTGATTGTCAGAACTTTTTACTCAGACAGTTCTCTCTCTTTTATTTCAATTATTTTACTCTCACTCAAACATTCGAGTTGGTGAGGATACAAAAACTTGAAATCTCTGCTTTGCTGATGACCTCAAAGGCTTGTATTAGAAACACTCTTCTCCCAGCTGCTTGTGAATAGCAGAATAGTGTCCTGATCCTGCAAAAATCCCTTTCCTTATTCTCAGACTCACCTGAGTAGCCCTGTTGAAAGTTAATGAAGCTGTTCACTTGAATAAGTGCAGCAGGATCATTCCCATTCATAATTAAATAATAGTTCATACTCTGCAGCACGCTGTGGATCGGGCCCGTATAGAACTTAGCTGGGGGTTTGCAAACAGCTATTTAGGGTCCCATCAGCCATGGTATGTAAGTCTCATCACCTCTTATTGATGGCACGGAGAGGTGAAGCGATATGTCCAACGTCCCACAGAAAGTCAATGGCAGAGCCGAGGAGAAAGGTCCAGAGTTCCTGTTTCTCTGCCATCACCACTAAACTTACTTCTCCCTCTTAAACAAGTGTTCTATAGACATTAGATAGATTAGATTGACTCACTCCCTGGGAAGTTCACTGACTGTGAAATTAGTAAATTACCTAGGCCCAAAGAATTTAGAAAAACAATACAGTCCTGGGGATACTGAAATAATTAATTTGCTAATCAGCTATACCTTGCTTTTTTAATTTGCAACGAGCACACTGGTTTGTTGCCTATTTCAGATGCCCCAGGAAGAACAATATTTCAGGAATCAGAGGGGTAGCCGTGTTAGTCTAGTGGAGTGGTTCTCAAACTTTTCGGCATCACGCCCCCCTTTTTGATTTTTGAAAAACCCTCACGCCCCTCCCCAACAGCAAAACTTGTTGAGCAAAAAGAAAAATAAAGGAACTGACCGGGGCAGCAAAACTTGATGGGAGGGGGCTGGAGTGCCTCGAGCCCCCCTGGAATTTCTTCACACACCCCCAGGGAGGCACGCCCCCCCCCCCCAGTTTGGGAACCCATGGTCTAGTGGGTTGTGCCCACAAAAACTCATGACATTTTTTTAAAAAACAGCTGTTGGTCTCTAAGGTGCAATAGGAACTCTTTTCTTTTTTTAAGTTTTTTTTTTTTTTAATATTTCAGAAAGCTTGCCACCTCCTCCCAGAATACTACTGTCTAGGTGTATTCTGCTCTATAGGATTGGCCGGCTTTCATATGTGTAGACTGATTAGATTAGATTGTGCTGTCCATCCAATGCAAACAAAACTGACCTCACAAATGTTGCCAAGAAATTGGTGAAACTATGTGAAGCTTCAGAATTTTAATAATTTTCGGCTTTGTGCTGTTTTGTCTCCTTGTTTCACTTTGTTGCTGCCGCCATTAAATCATCTCAAATGCAGAGTTAATTAATATGGAGAAGGGGGAAAGTATTACCATCTATTATTTGCCATAACATGAATTTAAACCAGGAAGTCAAATGATAAAATATGGGGGAGGGGGAGAGGAGAGAAGAGAAGAGTACCCAAATGAGTAATAGCCTTGGGCTTCTGAGCCTGAACTTAATGTGCTAAGTAAATCCCTGAGGTTAGAAAAGTATGAAAATTGTTGCAGCTTAGGGAGAAATATTTTAACTTTGCAAAAGGTCCCTGCACATCCACCACCAGACTTCCAGATGGATACAAATATACAACAAAATAAACAAATGCTGTTTGGTGGTACATATGGCGCACTCAACTTTCTGTTAACCCAGGGCAAGTTGTTGGGGATTATTTTTTTATTTGGATAGATAAGAGAGAGAAGTACCCAGTTTTATTATTAAAGTAAAGGTGGGTGAGCAGATATAACACCTGAATAGGTAAATTTTCAAGCCTATATAATCTGGGTGTATAGACAATAGCAAGTGTGGTTAGGTGTACGTATGAGGTGTGTATATGTACATCCTGTAAAGTTTAAAGCAAGTTAGTGCTTATGTGTGTAAGTAAGGGTTAAAATTCCCAATGCCGTTCCTCAGCAAAATATAAAGACCTTAAAAGAATTAAATTTGAAAAAGAATGTTGTTTCCCAAATTCAGTGTAAATTGACACGTAGCCACTTTATGACACTGCAGACATGGTCTGGTCCGGGCTTTGCAGTCTGAACAAATTTGCCCAGTCGGTCAAGTGACAGCTGAGTTACCCCGGTTTGAAACCGACAGTGACCATTGGGTATGTAGATGGAAAGGAAATTGATGCCTTTGTGTGGTGCATTTATGCCTGGCTCCAGCTCTTTCTCTTGAAAACTCTGTCTTCCTAGTGAGTTGACCATGCTGCTGAATTTATGAAGAGGGATGTTTTAGCAGAAATCCCCCAGAGTCTGCCATCAGTCCTAAATCCCCAGCCTGCTCTCCCTGGGAGACCTCATGACACAGAGCATGCCAAGGCTGCTTCCTTTTGCCTATGCATTAGCCATCTATTTTACCTTTTTGACATCTCTCACACATAAAACCGTAAGAGAGAAATAAAATATCTGTCTCTGGGCGAGAATAAAGCTTTGCCTCCCTCCTGATCTATAGGATATAAAATAAAGCCAGGGCTTTCATAGTGGTTTTTCCTTATGCTGGAGTTGCTTTTGCATACACGGAGACAATGAAGATGAATGAGGTGGGATTTGGTGCATCCTTATGGGATTTGTTTCACCCTCTTTTTTTTATGGTCTTTCTTCCTCCACTGCTCACACCCTCTTTACTTTTCTTGTTTGGTTTGTCTTTTAGCTGCCTGTTCCCTCCTTTTCAAAAAGTTTTAATTTTCACACGCACACACTGGTTTTCCTTCTAGCAATCAGGTCTCTCTCTCTCTCACACACACACACACACACACACACACACTTTTTTTTTCCTTCTAGCAATCAGGTCTCTTAAACATACACACACACAGAGATTTTGCTTCTAGCAATCAGGTCACACACACACACACACACACACACTGTTTTTTCCTTCTAGCAATCAGGTCACACACACACACACACACACACACACACACACACACACACACACACAGGTTTTCCTTCTAGCAATCAGGTGCCTCTCTCTCTCTCTCTCACACACACACACACACACACACACACAGGTTTTCCTTCTAGCAATCAGGTGCCTCTCTCTCACTCACACACACACACAGAAGGTTTTTCCTTCTAACAATCTGGTCTCACACTCAAACACACACCCCCCCCCAAAGTTGTTCTCTCTCACCCATTTGCTGCACTCGTTTGGGAACTACTGGCTTTGGCCAAGAGAAACAAGCCCGGGTAGACAAAAGTCCTTGGCACTGAGGTGCAATCACATGAACCTACTAACCCAGTGACCATTTCTCTTAGCAATGTTCTTTCATTCCCCCGCAGCCAGGTGAACTGGTGTGTGGGGGGGGAGGGATTCCTAATTTTGTTTTTTGTTTTTGTTTTTTCTTTCCGGGGACAAGCAAAGAAAAGCCCCTTCCCCTGCCCACTGCAAGCCCGGGTCTGCAGGGCTGCTAGCAGCGCTCGGAGTCTGTCCGCCCGCAGGAAGGCGCTGACAAGGATAAACTTCTGCTCTCTGCTTCCCTCTCCTCTCCGCTCCCTTTGAAGGAGGCTGATTTGGCCAGATAGTTGGGGGGGGGTCGTTTGTCGCACTCTGCCTCTTCCCAAGCAAGCTGCAGACTAGGGAACGGACTTCTCCTTCCAGGAGCCAGCTGGCCCTTGGCTGGATTCCTCCCGTCCCCTTCCTCGCCTTCAGTTGAAACCCAGGCACACGCTCTTGGGGCTACTAATTATTTATTAGTCAGCGTCCCCATAAACAATGCATGAGCCTGGGATGTAAGCGACAACATTTAGCAACGTGCCATGCAATCCAGGCAGGGGGAATCAAGCCGGAGAGAGCAACCCCAAATAAATAAATAAACAAAACCAAGCCACTGCTTAAAC